GATCTTGTTCTTTTTTACTAAACACGTTATTTTATCACCTTATTTTTTTAAAAAAGTGAACTGACTACATGAAATGATAAATCGGTAGCTTCTATGCGTCGTCCAAGAATGGAGGCACTGAGGGAAGGATCTCAGCATCTTCCCGATTCCCACTGCAGGCGGCCGCGTATTCCTCTGAAGACGGCGTGCTGACGGAAGCCATGATTGATGCCCGGGTGGAAGATGCGATCCGGCAACACAAGCAGAAGATGGACTGGCTACATAGGGAGGAGGCGGAAAGTGTGGGCAAGGCTGGGGTCATCCTGCCCCCCGGGGGGGCCTTAGACAAAGGAGGGAAAAAAATGGGGTTTTTGCTGCAGGAGGAAATGCCTCAGGCCCACAAGGTAGATGGATCCGGCCAAATGGCAATGCAGGATGGCCTGATCCCAGCTGTCTGGTTTGGGTCCAGAACCGTGATGGGGGGCACCTTGCCTCCAGATGTGACCCCCCTGCCCAAGGACAGTGCATCTCTGCCTGCAGAGGGGGGAGCCCCCAAAACTGAGGACCCCTCCCCAAAGACGGAAGGGCACATGATAAAGGCAGAGTCTCCATCGAAAGACGGGACTCCTGTTTAAGCATGTAAGGTCTAGGAGAGAAGGGGATTCTGGGAAAATATCAGAAATTATCGGTGGAGACTTGGGGTGCAGGGTAGGGTACAGAAGATTAAACGACACATTTGCTGTCACTCTGCTTTTGACTGTTGTGTTTTTGTGGGGGAGGGGGGCTCCCCTGTATTTTGGGAGATGAAGAAAAGGAAGAAGGGAGGAGTTTCACTAAGATGAAGGTAAACATGAGCCGTGACCAAGCTTAATCTGTGCCATGTGACAAACAAACCTAACAGGTCATGTTTGTTTACATTCCCAAGTGTCATCGGTAATGATCGATGAACATTTTTTTAATTAACAAAGACATGTTTTTAATGAAATGTTTTGTTCTGATATCTTGTTTTAGGATAATATATTAACAGCTGAGAGATTTATATGGTCACCCTGTGTTTTGGCTGCTCTGTCTGTGATTAAGGATGCCCGGTCCTTGGGGACGTTGGGGTCGGCTGTGTGGGGAAGCTCTACCCATTTTGTCCTTGACCAATGAAATATGTATCTATATAGATGTAGAGAAACTCATGTGGGAGGTTAATAGTGTGCTGGGTGAAGTTTTTATGTAGCGCGTTTTTCCATAATGAAAGTCTTTCTCTCGCGCCTTTAGCTTGGAAACGCACGGCCCCTCTCCCACACAGTTAGCGTGAAACGCACGGTCCCTCTCCCGCACCGTTAGCTTGGAAACGCACGGCCCCTCTCCCGCGCCGTTAGCTTGGAAACGCACGGCCCCTCTCCCGCGCCGTTAGCTTGGAAACGCACGGCCCCTCTCCCGCGCCGTTAGCTTTGTTTCACATGTCCACATTTAGGTGGCATGTTTAAACGTATAGTGTAACGTCATTCGTAAGGCCTGTCTTTCCCGTTTAAAAACTGCTTCTGAGTTTTTCCTCGGACAACGTGACCTCAGGACTGCAAGGGTGCAGATTCTAGTCCTGATACAGCTAAAAACTAAATGTAGATAATGTATCCATGGCTGATGTCAAGTCCTCTGGTTCAGTGGATGGGTGGTGCTATCCGGTGCTGTCAATCACTGCCCTCTGTGACTTGATTGGTCTCCAAGGGATTAAAGGGGTAGTGATTGATGCTTGTGGGCCCACTAACCAGATGGGATTTGATGCCTTGTTCTGCCCATCACCAATTTAAATGACTCACAAAGGGCTGTTTTTTTCCCTAATAGGATGTTATATTCATGATATGACCTCAAAATGTCTACTATGCCAAGTAAGACCAGGCAGAACGGAATGAATATCATCTATTATGAGCAAAAAAACAAGTCACTCGCTCACTTGCAAACATCCATTTAACTTCAGCTGGCTCTTGGAAATGTGTGGGGCCCTAATTACTTGTCCAAATACAGATTAAATAGTTATACTGTTACGTTAAATGATGTCAATATGCAATTAGACTTTAGCGCTAAGATAAAAAAAAAAAATTCATTTTTTATTTATAATTTTTATTTTTTACGCAAATGAGGATGAACGTTTCACAATCATGAATTTGCTTTAGTTTTGCCAAGTTTGTTTTTTGAAATCTATTGAGAATGGGTTCAATTTTACACTCTTAGGTGACAATACAACAGATTATTAGCTGCTTTTGTTAAAAGCTCAATATCTTGAACGTCTGTTCTGGGAACAAGGACAGTTTTGACTCATTGCGTGCAACTTAAATATTTACCTGCTCTACACGATCGTCCTACTTGCCTTATTGTATGTAGACAGTGCCCCCTGTGGGCAGCATTGAATATGTTAGTAAGTCTTTGGGATTTCAGAGTGGTGATGGACACAGGCTCGTCAACTTTTATAAACTCATATCCTTTGGTGACCACTTGGCAGTCCCTCTGCATCAAAACATTTAGCTGAACCATCTTAAATTTGGTGATCAAGGTTTTTAGGGATCTTCGCTTCTTATAAATCAAAGTTTGACCCCATTTTGACCTTAGGTGCGATGGAAAATACGAAAAGTGCTTAACTGCAAAAGATAATTTTGGTCAAGCTCAATATCAGCAACAATGACCTGTGATTAAGGACATTTAAGTATAATGGAAAGAGACTTTCTATTTTATTTGGCTGTGAAGTGATGACAAGCCTCTAGTCATCCATCCTTTTTAGCTAAGGGCCCATAAGACTTAAAATAACTGATATGCAGTGTGAATAATGGGTTACGTTTCTGCAATCTCACCGCTCGCCTGTCTAAATTATTACACTGTTAATGTAATGTCTTGTATTTTATCCTTTATATCCATAATATATAAAATATAAGGTTCCCAGTCTTGTCCTGGACAGTCAGTCCTCCATGACTCTAGGCGTTCTCTAGTGGTAACGTCTGCCATTGCAAGCAGCGTCTGTGCGGAGATAAATGAGCTCATCAGCCCCGCAGGGTTAAGCAGGTGGAGTATCCGAGTTCATAGCAAGGCAGGAGAGGAACAATGATGTTCCCCCGCAAGAGCGCCGCCCGCAGAGCGCAATCTAGCAGCAGAATCTCCTTCGGGGAGCACATGCACCTTTTAGTTTGCAAGATCTCTGCCAACTTCTCCAAGCTACAAAAGTTGCTCTGACCATCGCTGCCGCTGTGAATGCCTTACATGGGCTTTGATGGAGAGTTTGTGAGAACTGAATAAAAAAAAAAACAGAAAGTGAGAGGAATGTTCCCTGAGGAATGACGCCTCGTGAACCATGTGCTGTACTTTTTGATCCCACTAGATGGCGCTCTAGGTTTGCTTTTTTTTTTAAACATAGAGCATCATCTACAGGGTAAAAAAAATTGCAAATGGTTCATGAAGCCTCATTAATGCTTCTGTTAGTTGCACATACACATTTTACAGAAAGGTGATTGTATATTGCATTCAATATATGCAGATGTTACATACACATGGTTAAATAGGGGGGAGAAAGGGTAAGAGTTTCAGAAGCCCTGACACGGGGGGCAAGATGAGTGTGTGAATGTGGATTGTTTCGGAGGGGGCAGCCATGTATAAGAAACCACGTCACACAAGAATGAAGACGCTCTACTTCAGTGGCACTTTTAATAAAACGCAGACATGTCATCTTCACAACAGCAATGTCTGGACAGGGAGCGAGGTCACGGCAAGGGCGGGGGGGACGGGAGGGGGCTGGTGATCACCGGCCCACTTCTGGCTACGCAAACACCTTACACGTGTGCTGGGACTGAGGACGCGCATGGTCACACGGTCGCCGTGGCGCGCACACACACACGCGGACGCTAGTCATGCACAAACACCCAAGCCCACGCAGGAACCGAACCATTAAAAACTCAATATTCTTAAACTCCCAATGATATCAAGCTCATAATTTTAACATATAAAACGTATTCCGAACGTCAAATCACAGCGGCTTTAATCACCACTGTAAGTCATTAGTTAATGAGCCACCAAACGCAAACACGTTCATCTCCGGATTGTATTTGTGGTTCATCATTAAGGGACAAACACGGACGGCAGACAGTACAGACAGTGCGGGAAGACCAGTAACGGAACAGATAGGGTCTATATCCTTCCTGTTTCCTTCTCTTACTTATGTCTCCCTTATTCCCTCAGACAGAGCAGCACCATGTAGTCCCTCGCTGACCCCCCTAATGTCCCCCCAACTACTGCCCTTCCATGTGACAGGGGAGGTGACTGCAAAACCAGGCCTGTGGTCAACCCTACCTAACCAGAGAGCGCCCGCCCACCTCCCCCCAAAGAGCTTGGGTGATCCGGGTGAGACATCACAAGGGCAACTAATAAAGAGTTTTCCAGGGCAGAGCTTTTCTCTTAAGGCTGGGGGGGGGGGAACGTCCAGTTGGAAATAGGTGCTGGAAGACGCGGCATGGTCTCTGTACACTGGCTGCTGCAGGCAAACCCTCCCCTCCCCTCCTCTCCTCTCCAGCATGACCTGGAACCCACTTATTGCTCAGAAGCCAGCAGAAACAGAGAGCACCAGTACAATCATGTCACACCCACGCTCTCGTTCCGGAACGCGGCGGCGAAACGCTGGAGCCAACCCGTCGGAGGCGGATGCGGCAAACGGATCAGCTTAGACGTCGCCTCGCTCAGAGCTCTACTCGGCCGGCC